TCCCTACACAGAACTTATTTTTACAGAAAAAAGATACTCCGTGCGAAACAGTACAAAATCACAGCTTAATAGAATGCTACTGAGCAGTCAAAACCTGATAAACTTACCTTCTGATTAAATAAAGTTTCCTGGGAAAAAAAGAAGAAATAAAAGCTTTATTAACTTGATATGCCATTTCATGTAACACTCTTTTACATGGGATACAGGCTGGAACTAGGATTGCCAACATCCAGGGGAGGTCTGGATATCTCCCAGAATTACAACTGATCTACAGATTACAGAGATCAGTTGGCATGAAGAAAATGGCTGATCTGGAGAGGGGTCTCTATAGATTATATCCTGCTGACATCTGTCCTCTCCACGAACCTGCCCTCCACAGGATCTACCCACAAATCTCCAGAAATTTCCCAACCTGGAGTTGGCAACCCTAACTAAAACAGACAACAGTTTTAAGGGAGGTGGAAGCACTACATTGCAGAGACACTGATGCCCTTAATGTGTACATACACATTGCTTCTGTCCCATTCTCATCTATGGTTAAGCAGACTTTGCAGGTTTCTGAAATGCTTTAAAAGCTGAATGGGGGCTAAGCATACACTTTACAAATGACAATGCCTCTGTCATGCCACTTCAAATATTCTTCTCTTGGAAAAACTTTATGGACATTTTTACACTATTAGTAGTTTTACTGCTGCAAATGCTTATGTTATGATACTATCGTTTGTGCTACTCATCCAATATTACTTCACACCAGAGGACTGCTACAGTACAGTAATCTGGATCTGAATGTAAACTAAATGATCAAGAAATAGGAAATACACCCTAATTAAACAGAGATACCTTAAACATAAAATTAACCCCTCTAGGGGTACCTTTGACACCATTGCCTGCTTCTGGTTTGAAAACTGACAAAAACATTCTCGTTCTGCCACTCTTTTGGGAAGGGAAACTGTTTGAATCCTGCTTTTACAGCTGCTGTTTGGAGTTTAATGCTAGTTTTCACTGCTTAAGACTTGTAAAGGTTTGTAAACAGCTTTGAAAAACCATTTTGGAAAACAGTGTACAAATTTAGCAAATAAATGAAAACCAAGCTCAAGTCGGGAACATTAACTGCTGACAAGGATTCCCAAGCCCTGCATGAACGCTAGACTGCTTTTATTTTTATTGGCTCCTCTCACCTACTATTTTCATATTTCTCTTCCTTGAATTTCCTGGTCCACTGAAAACTTGCTTCCATCTCTTGACCTGTCTGCCTCTATACACAATTTTCACTTGTGTATACTCCCAAAGGAACTCTTTTGTCTTCTACAATCTCAAATGTTTCTGGCCTCTAACCCAATGACATCCTGTTTTTCTTCTCTTTTTATTTGACAGTAAAGGGCTAAGCTTTCCCCACTATTTCTTTCATAAGATCACCTTTTGTAATGATCAAGTAAATTTCTTATATGAGAAAGTCCATCATTGTTAGATCTAATTTTACAATTCCAAACGTTGTTAAGTATGCTGGAGCTATATTTCAAATGTTAAGGGGGATATGCTGTGAAACTCTTGCCTGGTTTATTCCTGTTTTAGCTATCAAGTTCAGATTTTGTTAGGCCTTGGAGAAGCAGGGAACAACTTGAGCCGCAATGAGCCGTCACAGACCAATCTCAGTACACAGGCCTGGTTAATAGTCATGTTCACATGCTGTGTGAATCCACTGGCCAAGATGCTATCTATGTCTGATGGGCCAGCCATTGAGCATAGTGTGGAAACTGCCCTCTAAATGACCAGGAGCCTGTGGGCCCGAACTGGGCTGTCCAGACTGCATGGTCTCACCACCCTTGCACAGCACACCAACTTTCAATGGGTGGGACCACTGGGAATGCGATGAGCAGCTGAGTACCCAGGAACAGGGCCATGAAATCTTTGTTGGACCCAGTGTAGTCCTCACCACCATCAGGGGCAGCTATGTCACATTTCACCACCATGCCTCCTGGCGCATGGTGGCAGAACATGTCTGTGCCCTTGGCCATGTGGCGTGGACTGAGCCTTGTGCCCTGAAGCAGAGGAACAACACTTTTGAGCCAGCTTGGAAGAGGATGCATGCCCTCTTGGCATTCCATATGACCAGGTAAGGGGGGGTGTCATCAGATGCCTAGTCCATGCTGTGTAGACATCTCACCTGTTGTGGGGGTGCAGCGATGCCAATGTCCTCTCTGGTGGGTATGTGGCCTTAGCAACATGGTGCATTCCCTGGGGACCAGCGAGGGTGCTCTGATGCCCCTTGCCATCTTCTAATCCCTGCCTTCCCCCTAGCAGGTGACTTGCTCAGCTGAGAGGCTGGGGCCATCAGGTGATGGAGTCACTGAGGAGCTAGATCTGTGGCCCGGCCATACGGTCAGACAGTGGAGTGCGCCCACTGAGAAAGGGGGTGACTGCAACATTGCAGGTAATTCATTCCCTCTGGGTGAACCCTTTGGTGGATTCCCAGGCAGCCACTGTTGCCATGCAAGCCTATCAATGTGTTTTTATGAGATATGAGCTGTGCAAAGGGACTGTACAACATGGAGACCTGAGAATACCTGTTGAGACTGCACACCTGAGAAAGGGACGCCTTCCTTTAGTGATTGCTGCCACAGTGATAGTCCAGAGTCACCAGCCATCTTACCTGCTGTGAGATGAAGCAGTTCCATAAGCCAGCACAAAGCCTCAGACGCCATGCCATGGAAAATCATGAGGACAGAGAACTCCAGACGCCATTAGGAGTTTCTTCCAGCACATGTAGGCAACCTCTCTTCCCCCCCCCTCCTCTTCCAGCTACCTACAAATCTAATCAAGAGACAACAGCCCTAGCCTGATGACTCATTCAGCCTTCCTGATTCAATCATCCTTCATCCAGGTGCCAGTTCCCAGATCAAGTTTCTAGTTCTCAATATTTGACCACTCCTTAGTCCCCCTCCCCTCTTCCAGCCAGCCAATAGTATGTATTATGGGAAGGACTTACAGGTAATGTCACAGGGGGACAGCTTTTTCATTATCACCTAATTTTTCTCCTTACTACAGCCTCCATACCACATGGGGGGTTTTCATGCCAGACTCAGAGTATTTTTGGTGGTCAAAGACTCCCTTCTCCCTTTTTCGCCAATGAAAAATCTGACTAGATCCAACCCATCATGCACACATACACACTAGGGAGGCCATGAGCCAGGTGGGAGCAGAGGAACTCTTACCCCTCTCCCCGCACTCCTTGCCTTATCTTGCTTGGGAGAGTGGAAGGGTAATATTCTGGTGCCAAAGCAGTGTTTAGCGACATGATGATGTCAGTTCTGGCCATGGAACTGGAAATGACATCATCACATTGCTAGACGCTCTAGCATTCACCAGCTCTGTGAATCTCCACTCCCAAATTCACCCAAGGGGCTGGCAACCCTAACACACATACACATAATATGCCAAATGAGTGCAACCTTTAACTTTTACCAGAATAAATGTGTTAGTCTGTAAGATGCCACAAAACTTTTTAGTGGTTAAAGTGTTGGACTAGAATCTGGGAGACCCAGCTTTGAATCCCCACTTTGGCATGGAAGCTTGCTGGGTGACCTTGGACCAGTCACACACTCTCAGGCTAACCTATCTTGCAAGGTTGTTGTGAGGGTACAGTGGAGAAGAAAATGATGTAAGTTGTTTTGGGTTGCCATTGGAGAGAAAGGTGGGGTATAAATGAAATAAATAAATAAACTGCCTAAAATATTACTTACCAACCGGTCCCGGATTTTATCTGAAAGGTTGAACTCATCCAAGATTGGAACAGGTATCCCCGGAGAATCACCAGATATCAACCGCAGTTTGGCTCGATCGACGACATTAGAAAGGCCAATGGTAATGAAAGATATTCCAAGAGCTCTGGCATCGTTAGAGATGCCCTGAACACCAGGACTGTTTGGATGGTCAATACCATCAGTCATCAACAAAACCACTCTGATGCTTTTTTCTCGTCCTTCTGTTTGGAACAGGTGAGTAGCATTGGAAATAGCATAATAGGTGTAGGTGCCCTGTCCAATAAAGGACATTCTAGAGAAGGTTTGCTTAAAGTTCTGCAGGCCTCTCCAGGATCTTAAGTGATGGTCGATAATGACTGAGCTGCTGAATTGCATGACTGCTAGCCGGATATCGTACCTTTGGACACGAGTGGGCTTCAGGCGGAAAATTTTGTCACTTAAGAGGCTGACAAAATCTTTCTGGTTCTGAAAAAGGTCCCCTCTGGCACTTTCAGATGTGTCCAGGATAAAGAGGATATCAATGAAGCAGGTGGAATCTGTAAGGCGACAAGACATTACAGATAATCAAACCTGCGTGGATAAACAAATAAAAGGATCCAACAGAAGCAGATAAATGGAAATCTAAAGTAATTAACATAGGTTACAATGCTAAACAAGTCTACCAATATGATGTAATTTAACTGGGGGAACAAGCAGCAACAAGCCCCTCACAAGCGTGTGCACAGATGTTGTTCTTAGTTGCCCACACCCAACACTGCCTGTTCCCCGCCCCCACCATGCATTCAATAAATCTCATACACTACACAAGTCTAGAAGAATCTATAGAAGTCAGTTGTGTAATTGTGGCCTATAAGCTTCAACTAATCAGTCAAATCCAATGTGGTGAGGGCAGTGTTACACAGTCAGATGTATTTGTTTCAGTTATTTTTCTAAAGTTAAATGAGGGTTCATATCAGCATCTTTATGCAACAGTAGGCTTCAGGGTAGATAAGTCCTCCTGGTTCATATGTTCAGTTTGGGTTGATGTTGAAACAGCAGGGTTTATCCTACCACTCTGCTTAGCACAGTGGACACTGGGCAGCATCCTAACTGAGGCTGGATGACTTCCTCCAGCCTAAGGAACTTTCCTTCCAGTCTTAGGTCTTCTAATTTTGTTTAGTGGAGTGGTAGGATACACGCCAATATGCAACAACTCAAGAAGAGCCTCTTCTGATAGAAGATGTTTTCCTGGGATGGAGGAAGACTTTTCATTTGGGTGAGCAGAGTGGTAGAATACAGCAAAGGAATGGCACCAGGAGTCCTCCTCTCCACCACCCACAGAGGCCTTTCCATCATGCAACCAAAGTTCATGTGATTTCCTCCCTGCTTTTTAAAGGAGAGAAATCATATGAACTGGGCCTCTATGTGATCTGCTGTTCAGATGAAGGGTTAAATTCATACAGGGGGATACTATGTGAATGGTGAATGGGGGCTTGCAGCGCTTTCCACCATGCGATTGTGTTGCTGCCCAACTGAATAGATACATCAAGACACAAACCACAGAAGAAGACTGAAAAATAATGCCAAGAAGATTAGCCAAACTATCCTAGAAAAACAATTCTTCTTGTATTCAAATATATCAATAAATTGAACTGTAATACATTCTCTCAGTCACCCCATGAAGAAGGTCAACTTCAATCCTTGCAAGGAAAAGACTCTGACAGAATCTTACAACACATATAGACTGTAAGAATATAGGCTTATTCAGAGATTTGTCTTAAAAACTGTTACAGATTCATTGTTAAGTGGAATCTTCATTCTGCAGACTTCAAAGACTGAATTGTCTTAACTCCAGTTTACAGGATACCTTAATAGTGCTGTTAATCTTTCTGGATCCAGGGCTCACCTTTACTCCCAGATGGTAGCAAAGAGCCCACTGAGCTGCAAGTATATGCCAGGAAGTCATGTGATGCCATGCCACTGACATGAAGTCATGTGAAATCATGGTCACATGACAGGAAGAAACAGGGCCAAAGTTATAGCCTCACTGGTGGCCAGGATAGGAGTGTGAACAGAAGCGTCAACATCCAATGATGCTCACCTGCATTTACTGCATGGAGCCCAGCTTCCAATCTGCAGAAAATCAGCTTTCCTTCCAAGAGCGGAGTGGTCCTTGTGCATGGGACACTGGATACCTGACTGGATGGAGGTTGGCTGGGGAGAGGCAGGGCCAAGCTATGCCTTTGGCTTGTTGACGAGTTAGGTCAGAGTCCCCTGGACCCAGCCGCAGGAATTGGCTTTCAAAAAAATAAAGGAGTGCCAAAGGAATGCTGCCATGAGGGGAAGAATGGTTCCTGCCCCCCCCCCAGTGGTTTTCCCCTGTTGAAACAATGCTGGTGGGAGTTATTTCTCCATTTTTCTGAACCATGTGGAGAATTCTGTGCAGATGGAACAGCAACAATGGGGACCCCCCCCCCCAACTGTTTCAGCATGGGGAAAAAGAGCTTGGAGAGGGCAGGAGTCCTCCCCCCTGGGGTGGTGGTGTTCCAAGCCTATTTGGGCTCCCCTTTATTTTAAAAAAAGCCATTCCCTGCAGCTGCTGTGCAGCTGTGATTTCCCCAGACCCATATCATAAAAAATCTGAACGTGTAGTTCAGGCCTAAGAGAGAATGCAAGGGAGAGCTTCCCTGAGAAGGGAGGCTTTGGATCCTCTCGGTGCTAAAAAGAAATCATCTCCATTGCTGAATGATCATGCCTTGCAATCCTACTGCTCCTCTCAGCATGCATACAAAGACAGGCAGGAAGCATAGTGCACAGGGAACAGGTTCCTCCAAAAGCAGCAAAAAATGTCAGTTCTTGAGGGGCTTATTATGATCTAGCAGATGGGGACCTGTCTGAAAGTCCCAACCCATAAATTGAAGACCTAACAGATCTGTACCTCACGTCAACCCTACATAAACAGTACTATATTGTATCCTACATGCCAGACTATCTAGCAATCTGGATGTCTTCCAACCATTATGGTTGTATCGTATACAGTTTCTAACAGCACATTCCATGCAAAATTTCTGTTGAGGTTCTTTATGTACAAAGAGATGCCCATTTAGGAGGGAATAATAAAACTCCTTGTCCAGTATTTATGGGAAACATGCAACCCCAGAGAAGCCAGGACTAATTACCAAAGACACAAAATGCTTATATATTAGTTTGCCATTTCCGCGGAAATTATTCCACTAGGCTTGGAAACATTTCATACAGTGAGTTCTAGGAAAACGGCTTTACCCTGAAGATTGTCTTGTCTTGCTAGAAGAGAACTTGGCCTTTGTCCCTTTCTTCTGGTTTGTCCATACGCTATACAATTTGTAGCAACGGCCAAAACAAAAAAGGAAAAGACAAAATGTTTTTTCCACATAGTGACTGGAATCCAAAATCCAAGGATTGCTCACTGCTCCTGTTAATGCAAAACAGCTATTTTAATATATATATTAATAAGACTATTTAAGCATGATACAAGCTTGTGTAGGATACCTTTGTTAACTCGGTTATACAATTTTAACAGGTTCTTAAATGAAGATATTAACACTTAAAATAAAAGGTACTGATCTTTAATACAGCAGGTTTGCTGTTGTGGTTCATACATTATCTATTAGAACATGTTTTAAAGATGGAATATTGATCACAATTCATATTATCTCTTATACTTTAAACATACATTAAGTACTGCTTATTTATATCTTTCTATATAAACTACTGCATTAGTAGTTGACTCTGGCAGATGTACAAAAGTGACTTGAGAATTTCTCAGCCTAAATCCAAATGTAACTACATTCTACTGAGAATATTTTTCTGGCACACTTAATACAAAAAGACAACTTGGGTGTCCATGTGAGTGTGCCTTTAAATTACATTTTTTTAAAAACAGACATAATAATGAGGATTTTAATGCATTCCTCTTAATTTTATAGCGCTTCATATTTTAGAAATAAAATTAACTGTGAGTGACCACAGCTACTTTTAATCAATTGTTCTAACAATGTATCTACAAAACTGTCTACAAAAATAGCAAAAAAATGCTAATATTATTCCTGTTTGGCCCACTTATAACTTTCTGGATTCCATGTGTTTCATGGATAACTGTTAAAGGATTTCTGAAACATACTTATTTCTAAAAAACCATAGCAAATTTGTCCAGAAATTCTTGCTGGTTAGAGAAGTACTTTGAAGACAACATTACAATAAACAATTCCTGTCATTTATTAGACCACAATCCTATATATTATTGCTAAGCTCCACTCAAGACTTTATAATTAATTCAATCTTTCCCCAAAGACAGATCAGTGACAACCAAATTTTAACAATATCACAACTTTTCATTTCAAGTTCCATTTTATTTTCTTTTACCAAGATAAACTATTTTGAAATTATGTTGTCTTACCGTACACAGCCCAGCAACAATACACTGCAGAATAAATAAACTAGCCACAAATATTAACTGGAAAACACATTCCCACTTTTTTGTTAAAGGATAGCATCTTTTAAATAAATAATTTGTCTTGGTGCAAATCAGGGCACTTTGCATCTGGATATTTCATGGTCCTTTAGTCATATTTTATTAGTCCAAGTTAATGCAGAGTGGTTAGGCATTTAGCCAGGTCTAGAAATCTGGGTGGGAGCATCAACTTTAAAGGAACAGCTGATCTTAGAGAGTTCTTTACAAACAACCAGCTCGATATTATGTAAATGAAAAAGCAATTCTTACCAACTAATTCTGTTCATTTCTCTGACCTTCTCTGTTGTACTTCTATATCCCAGCATGAGGATATTATTTAAAGACACTTCCTGTGAGACACAATCAAGAAACAAATGTATAATAAATATGTGACACTGAAAGTCCAAAATTCTGACATAAATGTCAATAATCCTAGATGAATTTTGGGAGTGGGTTGGATCCAATCAGTTTTTTAGCTGGTGAAAAAGGGAGGAGGGGACCTCCCTTTTTGACCATCAAAAAGACTCTGCTGGGGATTAGGGTTGCCAGCCTCCAGGTGGGCCCTGGGGATCTCCTGCTTTTACAACTGATCTCCAGCTGACAGCTGACAGGGATCAGCTCCCCTAGAGAAAATGGCTGCTTTGAAGGGTGGACTCTATGGTATTGTACCATGCTGAAGCCCCTCCCCAAACCCCGCCCTTTCCTGGATCCACCCCCAAAGTCTCCATGTATTTTGCAAACCAGACCTAGCAACCCTGCTGGGGATTATGAGACCTGCACGCATATTGGGGGCTGTAGCAGGGAAGGGGGACCAGGTGAGACTGAATGAAAAAGCTGGGTGGATCCAACCCAAAGTCCAGAAACAGATATGTATTTCCCTTGGGGGGGGCATATAACACCGAATGCTGAGGTGACTACATCAGTGTACCTCTGAGTGTTCGGTCGTTTACCAGATTCTAAATGTCTAGAGGTAAATATCAGATTTACCAAATGTCCGAGTTTCATGTAACATGGCCACAACCCAACACAGAGTTAAGCATGCTTAAGACCAACAGAATCAATAAACACCAATGCTTAAGTATATCATGATAGACAGTTGCGGGATGAGAGGGTGTAGGGTTTTCCATTCCTGAAGATTTGGAGGTGCAGCCTGGGGAGGGTGGGGTTTAGGGAGGGGAAGGATCCCAGTGGGGTATAATGCATGGACTCCACCCACCGAAGCAGCAATTTTTTCCAAGGGAACTGATCTTTGTCATCTGGAGATCAACTGTAATCCCGGGAGATCTCCAGGCCCCACCTGGAGAGGCTGCCAATTCTAAAGGGTAAGTAAGAGGATTTGTAACTGGTTAGCTGACAGGAAGCAGAGGAGTAAATGGACAGTTCTTACAATGGAGGGAAGAAAATAGAGGGATCCCTCAGGTATCTTTTCTTAGAATGTTGCTATTTAATTTGTTCATAAATAATTTGCAAATGAAAGTGAGCAGTGAAGTGAACAAATGTTTGGATGATAGTGGATTATTCAGGATGATGAAAGCCAAAACAGATTATGAAGAGCTCCAAGAGGGTCTCTCCAATTTAGGTGAGTGGGCAATAAAGTGTAAATGAGCTTTAATGTAAGTATAAAGTGAGACATTTTGGGGCAACCCCCCCAATAACTTCACCTATACTCTAATGGGATCTAAGAGAGGTATTGGCGTCATGATGGCTAGATCAACAGAAAAACTCAACTGAGGGCCTAACATAGGTTACAAAGTCCTTGCACTGGGTGTGGGTCTGCCATGAGAATACAAGTGCCCTGATCTGTTTGCCAACAGTTATCAAGGAAGCTGATAAAGGTGGAGTAGTAGTGATTTTAAATAAACAGGATTATCTACAGGAAGTCTATAAGCAATTAGGGGACCCTTTGAATTATCAAAAGCTTAGTATGGATCCAGCATCTCATATTCAAAGACTTATTTCTATTACAGTTGAGGAAGGTCTTTTGGCAGGATATATTGATGAAATGACTGGAAAATTTCTTATTAACACCAGTCCTAGAACTCTGGTCTTCTACATCCTTCCCAAAATACATAAAATACAATGTCCACCACCACCGGGAGGACCAAATGTATTCGGGAAAAATTCTATACTGAAGCCCTTAGCTCAGTATGTAGATTCCTTTTTACAACCTTTTGTTGTGCAAACAGCAGCTTATTTGAAAGACACAACAACTTTCATTAAAGCAATTGAGTGTCTTCAGGTTAGAGCTGAGACTATTCTTTTAACTCCTGATGTCAAGCACTGCATACCAGTATTCCGCTTGAAGAGGCACAAGGAACGTGCAGTTGAACTCAATCTGTTAAAGCAACAGAACCCTTTTCCACCTACACAATTCTTATTGAGTCTTCTTGAGATTGTTATGGGGGGGGGAAATTCAGTTTGATACCGATTTCTACTTGCATATAAAAGGAGTCGCAATGGGATGTACAGCTGCACCATCAATTGCGAATTTGTGTATGGCAGAACTTGAGGAAACATTTATATTATGACCTGAACAAAATATTTTTTTCTTAATACAGAAAAATATTATGTTTGTAGATGATATTTTCATAATATGTAAGGACAGAACCTCAGTGCACAGCTGCACCATCAATTGTGAATTTGTGTATGGCGGAACTTGAGGAAACATTTATACTATGACCTGAACAAAATATTTTTTTTAATACAGAAAAATATTATTTTTAGATGATATTTTCATAATATATAAGGACAGAACCTCAGTGGAACAATTTTGCACTTGGTTCAATAACTTGGATGCTAATATTAAGCTTACCTGGAATTACAGCATCCAACAGGTTGAGTTCCTGGATGCGACTGTCTTTAAAACTTCTTCTTTATTTTGGGCTACTAGGACTTTTGAAAAACCAACTGATAAAAATACATTACTGAGCTTCAGTTCTTTTCACCTGGCACACTTAAGACATGTGAAAGAAAATCTTTATTTGATAAACCTATTGCCCCCCCCCCATCATCAGGTATTTCATGGGCAATGGACTACACTCCTCTATCAAAAGGTTATCATCAAATACTGGCCAATACTTGGAGATATTAAAGGGTGCCAACTTTCACCCAGAATAGATTATAGGAAGATTAAATCCCTTAAAGACATCATAGTCAGATCAGATATAAGGGAGGACACGCAGGTTAGGACTCAGTCCAAAGGACACAGATGCTGTTTAAAATGTAAAGCCTGTAAGATAATGTGGGAAAGTGACAATTTCACTTTAAATGGTATAACTGTTTGCAGTAATGCAAGTTCTAGCTGTGAAAGTGCCTTTGTTGTATATTTTATTCAGTGTGATTGTCCAAAATTATATATTGTGAGTATCACCAGACCATTGAAATTAAGAATTATGGAACACATCACAAGAAATAAATGACAAACAAGGGAAGCCCCGCTTACAGAGCATTTTGTCTCTCAAAACCACAGTTTAGATGTGATGTGCTCTTTGCTGCAGACTCCAAACGTCCATTGGCTATGAAGGAATTACTTCGCCAGGAACACAGGTGGATCTTTAAATTAAACACCTTGATCCCTAATGGTTTGAACACTGAATTTGATTTAAGCTGTTTCTTATAAATTTCTGTTGGTTGTATACAAGTATGTTGTTTCCCTTCCTTTGGTTTACCCACCAGTTCCATTAGAATTTTATTCTTAGAAATGTAAAAATACACCTTTGAACGCACTGACAAGGGCCTGATTTCAGCGACATATCAACTTTTAAACACTTCTAACCAGTGTTCCCTCTAAGCTGAGTTAGTGTGAGCTAGCTCACAGTTTTTTAGCCTCCGGCTCACACATTTGAGGGGTAAGGGGTAGAGCGGCGTCTAGTCTTCTTCCTACCCGTTACTTTCTGCCACGGATGCAGATACCGACCGCCATCGCCGACTCCCCCGCCGCCAGACACTTGCCCGGGAGCCTGCGCAGCAGCCCCTCGGCCTCCATGGCTAGCTGAGCTGCTGCACGTTACACCCGCCCCAGCTCCGGAAGGTAAGGAATTGCACCAGCCAGGCTGGGAGGAAGGCGCTCAGAGCTGCTGCTTCTGGGGGCGGGACACAACGGCCATCCCAGATCGCCTGGCTCTCCGCCCGCCCTTTCCTCTTCGGCGCATCGTGGGCTGCTCGGCCCTCGCGGTTTGCTCTCCTTTCCCCCCCGCTCCCGGCTCCTTTTTCTCCTCCCCCCCGCCGGCTCGCCGCTTACCTTCCCAGCGGCAGCGGTCGCAGAGCGTCCCCTGCGCATGTGCAGGGGACGCTCTGTGAGTTTCGGGGGGATTTAAACATCCCCCCAATTTTTTTTCACCATTTAGGATTTTTGTGCACACGTGGGGACTGCCCCACGTGTGCACAAACCTCTCCCTGCCCCCCAAGTGCCCCCGAAGTGCGGATATAGATATCTACGCAGACGG